ATTAATGTGTTTCTTGAACAGACACTCCTCAGGTTTCTATACTCAGATTCATTCATTGAACGCAGATATTCTCAGACTGTTGGATCTCCTCAGTTTAACCCTCGAACAGGGTCAGGACAAAGTGTCATAAAATGTACAGTTCAATAAAAATAGGCACAGTTCTTCAGTACTCAAACATCCGCTGTTTAGTGGCACCTTGCCTGAACTGCCCTTTTCATTTTCTCAGAACGAGGGTCTTTTGGGATTTTTGTGATAAAGCATAAAATTCCACTCAAAACTAAAAATTCTTAAAGCTGCAGAAGAATGGGAATAATACAAACACCATCCAAATAAAGTCAGACAATCTTATAGGCTTGAAAAAAAATAAAGCCCATAAAACTTGTTTGAACTACAAAGAGACAGCTTGCCAGCTTTGGTGAAGCTTTGTGCATTTACCAATGAGAATCTTGGCCAGCAAGTACTGATGTAACAGTGTTTCTAAGGGAAATATTTTGTTCTTGTTTAGAACACATAACTTAGTGATACTGCGATACAAACATTGGTGAATGTTATTTTGTGCAAATATTAGAAGGAGCAGACAGAGAAAGAGAAAGTAACTACAAATTACTAACATGAGGTTGTCTCCATTCTCTAAGCACTTTCTTTAGGCCAATTTGCAACACTCTTTTAAAAAAAAAAACCTTTAAAAAAAGTGCTTCCTCAGACAAATGTAGATTCCAGGAATCAATATTTGCTGTAGTTTTAAGCTATAATACATGCATGCTGCTACTATGCAATACTGAACTAAATGTACCACTTTAAGTAACAGTGAAAGGATGGAAGCAAAATGAAATATACACCTCTAATACAAAATGTAATATTCAAAGCAAAATTATACATAGGAGAAAAATTTATACACCCCAATAAGGGTTAGTCAGCCAACTATGAGTGGAAGTACAGAAACAGGGCTTACCATGAGCAGTCCTGTGCATCTCTGAACAACAGGACAAGAATAACTGAGACCATCTTTGAAGCATATTAAACTGTTGCCCATAGTCTCATCACAGTGATGTTATAAATGTATGAAATAAGTCTAGGTAAGTCTAGCCCTTCCAGGTAATAATTCAAATACATGGCAATTAGACGTAAAAAGATATCTGATAATAAATTATGCCACAATTTCTATGTCATATGCCCACATTTTAGCTAAAAAGCAAATAGAGCCAGCATAGATTACTTCTAATGCCTTTTAGACACATTCAACTATTCCTTGGCAAGATAGTGCTCCCCACATACAGCCCTTACCCAGGAGAAGTGGGACTGAAGAAGGTGTTATGTTATCCTGGGTTAGCCAATGTAGTTGCCATTATTCAAGTATAGACAACAGTTTATGTTACTAAGGAAATCTAAAATACTTTAATACACATGGAAAACAGCATTTCATCACAATCTGATTTAATAGAACACATTATCAAAATTAGTTGATAGTAGAGCAAATTGTTTCAAATTGGAAAGCCACCTAAATTCTTGCTGTTAAATTAACTAAAAGTGCATTTTTGTCTGTTATATTAGCACCAGATTCTTTCAATCTTCTGTTGCAAGCTAAAAGGCAGCAATGCCAGAATCTCATGATACATCACTTTCATTACCTTACTAGAAATTAAGTAATGACATCAGCTTAAAACATTTGCATTTCTCAACCTAGAACCCAAATATCAGAAAACACTCAAAATTTATTGATACTTCATAGTTAATATTAAAATGGCATTTAAAGTTCATTGTTTTAATGGTTACACACAATATTTAAGAGATAAGGAAAATGTCCTTTTAATAAGCTTGTACATATCACCTTAACCATAAAGAAAAAAAATTTAAATAATTTTGTTTACCAGTGTGAAAGCAGGATGTTTTTGTGAATGTCAGTGACAACCTTTCTGCCTCTTAAGTCTCAAATTATGTCACATGAGAAGGAATGTATCTGTCTTAATATTTAATAGGAAAGTTAAAAGTCTAAATTTGTGCCAGTCACCTTAGGTTGCTTTTATTGCGAGTGACAAGAAACAGGCATCTCTAAAGAAGGAATTGTCTTATCTAAAGACAGAAATAGAAAGAGCCTATGGGAATCCTCCCCTGGAAGTCTCCATCTCTCTTCACTGACTAAAGAAGCCTATGGTGACCAGCTCAGATTTATACCACCTATAGGTTTAGATGGCTAACATCATGGGAAATTAATCCCATTCTTGACATCCTTCTCAAATAGCATTTGGGAAAAGTAAGCATAAAATACAGAAAACCAGAATTACCATCAAGTGTAAGAATCAAAATACACTGTCCCAGAAAAATTAAAAAAACAAGACCCTTTTGTGAAAATAGCAGGGGATCTGTAAATTTGAAATGTCATACAGCGTTTGATCTCCAAGCCAGGACAGACTCCGTCATTTCTAGAAGATTAAGAATATACAAGGACTATTTTCAGAATATGCTGACAAAGTAATATGCCTCTTCTGTGTATGAGTAAGCAGCAATTTTCAAAAGCTTATAATTCAGTGCAAAAAATTCAGACATTCAGAGGCATGGCAAAAGACACATCTTATAACCCATTAAAGCATCCCTTTCAAATTCCAAGTCCTTGCTCAAAAGCAAAGAAGAGGTCATAGACCTTTTTTTTGACTGTTTTTTTTCCCATTTTCAGGAATGATACAACCATCTCACAGAAACTTTTGCAAAGACACTCAGGCTATAGCAAAACTGTGGGCAGAACAAGTCTGCCAAATTAATCAAAGTTGAAATTCGAGAAAGCTGACATTTGAAGAAGAGAGTTCCTTGCTCCTAAGTATTTGAAAACATAAGGAAGCTCCTCAATCATACATTCATAGAAGATAGAAGGGTATCTGTGAAGTCTCCCTGTACATTTGCCCAGTTATTAAACGTTTATACTGGCATCCTCTTTAAGTATGGACTGTCCCAGAATGGCCATTTACAAGTAACTGACAACAGAGCTTATCATGAAATTCTTAGGTCACTTTATAGGTCTCATTGATCTCTAAAAAACCTTCAGGAAGGCAGGTATTTCTATTGTTGATTAATAGAGCTCACCTCCAAGAGTTTGTTCCTAGTTATGTTTTGCTTTTTTTTTTTCCCAAGCACAAAATGATACTAAAAATGTATTATTCTTGCCATGGATCAAGTGAAAAAGATGCTATTCTTAAACATCTAAAATCCCCATCATGTGACTGCTCACAACACGTGAAACCTGGTGCTAATTCAAAGCTAAAAGATAATTTCACAGGCTTCAATGTGATTTTCATAGTTACAGCCACAAGTCTTTAAATATAATTTAACACATTTTAGAAAGCTTGCAAATTCTGCCATGTCTCATTTTTGCCAAAACTTAAGTAAAATACTAAACTGAATAACTAAATATTTCAAAATAGAAAAAAAAATTAAAAAATTTTCATAAAATAGCAGAATATTTCTGATTTTGCTTACCTATAAACACCTCCAAAATCATAGAATAGCTGAGATTAGAAGAGACCTCAGAAGTTCATTGAATCTAAACCCCTAATCAAGCAGGATCAGATGTAGCAGGTTGCTTGTCCTTTTGGGTTTTGAGTATCTCCATGGATGGGGAATCTACAACCTCTTTGGGCAAGCCTCTCCAGTGTCTGACCATCCTCAAGATAAGGAAGTTTTTTTATACTATTTTTCAATGGAAACATTTAATAATCTGTATGCAGTTTGTACCCACTGCCTGTCATCCTGTCACCAGGTGTCAATGAGAGAAGTCTAGCTCTGTCTTCTTTACACCCTCCCATCTGGTATTTACTGTGAGAATGAAATGTTACTTAGCATTTCAGTGTTCAGGAGACAAGGATCTTGAGCCTAAATTAGTCCAACCACTAACCATTGGATATCACCCAACCCACAACATGTTTGGTGCTACACAAAATCAGGCTACCATCTTTGGAATTCAGAAATTATGTATGCATGTATGAATTATACAGCATCATGCCTGCAATATAAATCATGACATGATACCTGCTTACTTGCTAGCCACTTATGACCATTTACTGGTTTTGGAGACCAGAATTTTAATTTACAAAGGACACAAAAGACAGCACTATCACAGTATGAAATGCACAACAAAACAGTAGTTCCCCATTAGATAGTAAGGGTGCCTCACATATTTTTTAACTCTTATAAATGGCAAAGCACTAAAAATATCTATAAGGTCTAAGACTATTGCTCACCGAGGAATTTAAGCAGCAGAAACTAGCACAGCTGTTATCATGTGCTCCTGCACACTTTTGGCTGCTAATTCCCACTCATATCACCTTTTGTACCAGTGACAGCCCCTGGACAGCCATATGGGAGAAGGCTGGGATAAACCCAACTGAAAACAAAAGCAAACAAATAATTGGCTATTTTCAGTCTGATCCATTCTCCAAATTTGCAAACAGCTACACATGCTGAATGAGGAAGAATGACAATGTGGGGAGGAGAAAAGAAGCTGGCACTGCATCCTACAGGGACGTGCCAGGTTAAAGTATTCACTGAACATTTAGGCTAAAGCTAAGCAGTGAACACAAGCTACTCAGCAAGTAATACTGTATTCCTTAGGCACTGCTTTCAGGATGAGATGGATTGGCCTCTGCAGATGCCTGTCCCTCTCCTGAGGGTAAGCAGAATTTAGAATGACTGAGATACAGCTACTTAGTTTCTATGTATCTAAATTGACCAATATCTAGATGAGTAGAAAATGGTAGAAAACCAGGTTTTGATCCTTACAGCATTTCAATCCCATTTACAATTGCCATATGGAAAAAAAAAATTGTAGCATAGCTTACCATCACACTGACATCAAAAGGGTGTATTTTCTGCATGGTCCACAATTTTTTTTTCCTAAACCATATTTTACATCTATAAGCAGTATGTTTCAGTGATGGGGTACTGTATTCCTCCCACAGGGTGTATAAATCCCCAGCAGAAACATAGCCACAGTTCAGTTATAAATCACTTACATTTCTTCAGAGTCACTTTGTCACTTTGCTGTGCTCTGGGAAGGTCTTTTCCTTGTTGCTCAAGTGGTCCTCCTTCCGAAAGTGTCTGTCACAACTATGGCAGATGAGGACAAAAGGTCCTTAACTCTCACTTGAAGTTATCTAAGGGTAAAAAGAGAAAGGAACACAGTAAGTGCAAGCATCCATATTGTGTTTTATTGCAAGGTATTACAACCATCTCTTTAAAACACACTTCAGTGTCATCCTTACGCACACATATTGCATGCCTAGAAAAAAATCCCACACATTTCACATCTTTCTTTCTTTGTATGAGACATGGGGAGCAATCACTACTCCTAGAGCAGTCACCTGCTGTACTTCTGAGATTCATAATAACAAGACTGTATTTCTTTGAAAAAGCAAGTGTACAAGTTAAAAGATTATTTCACATTATTGATTATTCATTTTCTACCACAAAGACACTGTGAATACTTTTGGCTGGGAGCAAGCAGGAAATCACAATTTGTTGGGCATAGGTTCACTATAAACTATCCTGCCTAGCCAGTATTGATAAACATTCTAATCTGAATCTTCAGTTAAACAAAAGAGCTCTCTATTGTACTACATTTTACTGCTCAGAAAGGGAGACCTGGGGCTTATGATAGATAGGTCTCATTGAAATTTCTTCATTAAAACGTAAAACTCACCACTCCATCAGAGTCAAATCTATAAATCAAATGATAAAAAATTATTTAGAAAACAATAAAGGACAAAGTGTAACAAGTAATTTGCTACTTATTAACCCCTATCTTGAAAAGCGTGCCCCCCTCTCTTGTCCAGCACAGAACACAAAAAACCAGAATTACCACAGGTAAGAGGAGAAAAGATACAAGATCAAAGGCTTAAAACAGTTTCCATATATGAAGAAGAATTCAGTATGCCACCAATATCCAGACTGGAAAAAAGCTGACTTAAGGAACGGCATGATAGAAAACAACAAAGTCTGAAGATGGAAAGACTGCACAGACATTGTATGTTCCCTATCCTTTGAACTCAAGAACTACCTCATAAAAGCTACATTCAGAAGAAAAATGGGAGTTTCTTCTCCGCAAATTGTGTGACAGAACTGTGAACTTCTTCCCAAGGATGCTGTTTATGCAAGGAGGTTTCCTAAGTCAAGAGGAAGGTGGAGGTATCCTCGGAAGAGAGCCATCACTGGAGACAGACGACAGTCTAAGAGAACCATTGGTCTGAATCAGGATGACCAGTCCTATCTCCTTGTATATTTACTTATGTTAGTGCTAATTCAACAAATTTTATATCTATTTTATCTATTCACCACTCACAGTAATGAGAATTACTGCATTAGGTACACAGGAGTCTAGTCTTAGTTGCATTTGAAGCACAGGCTAGATCCTTTTGAACACCAAAGTGAAATCCCATGGTTCTCTGTACTTTACTTTAATAAATTTGATTGATTTTTCCAAAACACCATCACCACTGGAAAAAAATCAAATCAAATGAGGTAGTAAAGTCTTACTGTAAAGCAGCAGTAGCCTTCCTCTCCCCAGTCACAGTCCCAAAGCAGCCAGGGCAGAGGGCTACAAAGCTAGGTTCTGCTTCTCAAGTTGTTCACTGATCTTATGGGTTTGAGTCTAACTTCATCCATATGTTCCCATTCAGTTCAACACTTATATAAATGCAGGTCAGCATCTCCATTTCCCAAGTTTCATCTCAAAGTAAACCTTAAAAATTATATACTCTGTATTCCAATATCTTCTCTTTTGCTTTAATCTCTAGGATACTGCAGCGTTTCTGATTTATTTTGGGTAAGTGCAGATCAATTAAAATTCCTTCAGGGAAGCCTTCTGAACCAGCAGAAAGTGAATGACTGTCATCAGGAACAAACACTATTTGCTGTCATGGACTGGCATGTCACACTTTTTAGCAAAAACTATGTTAATTAATTCTATCCTTACCTACCAGGTGTACCAAAGGAATATAACCAGTCCTTTCTGCTGTCTTACTAGATACAGATCTTTGTGTCTGTGAACCAAGTATCCCTATATGTAGAGCTGTGCATTGGCACATTATATGAAGAAGCAGCCTGTACTAGCACAAAAAAAAAAAAACATAGCAGGACAGAAATAACTTTGTTCAGACATCAGTATGCAACCAAAAATCCCTTTTGTAAGATGCATGAATTAATACCCTCAAATATCGCTCAAAACCCAGACATTTTCCAATATATCTACATACATACATACCTATTCATTAACACTCTTTTTAGACCCTACAGTGAGGAATGTGTATAACTCACACTTTTTTGGTCAGTTTGAAATACTGGATCAAAGTATGTTTACTGTTCACTCTATCCCCCTCTCTGAAAAAGAAGAGTCTGCTACAATGTTTGCTGTTCTATTTGCTTCTGCAGCTTAAATGGCTTCACTGAGGATGAAAGGAAATTCACCATACAGCATGCTAATGATCAAGGACTCATGCACCACTGGCCTATAGCAACGTTTTAGGCTACCTCTCCCTTCTATTATTTGTCCAGCTTTTCTGTTTAGCATGTTAGGGGTACGAATACAACCAGACAGCTCAAAAGGTATTCAGGGTCTGTTTGATATCCTTCACATCACTTTGATACTAACTATAAATCAGAGCAAGCTGTACCAAACAAGAACCAAATGTTTTAGCATTGATATATAAGCAAAGACAAGCTTCTTGAAAAATGACAAAATTTAGAGACGTGGGTTCCAGGTATATTATGGAAGGTAAAATACTATTGCAGGATAAACCTATTGAAAACAATTTGATAGTAGCAATAACAATTCAGAATTATCATCACCACTACTTAAACACCAAGAAAAAACCTCACGAGAACAGGTGGGTACCTACTGGCTGTCAAATAAAAGCGTTGATTTTTACTCTTTCCACATGTGGCTTCCAGTTACCAGCAACAAGTTTACAAAATCTTCCCATGAATATCATCTTGAGTCTCTCAAACAAGTGCACATAAAGGGGAAAAAGTTGATACGCAATTATATCTATCAAGCATTATAAATCAACAGCAATCCCAAAAAATTGTGTCAACTATGAATGCTTTCTTTTCAACCACTTGTTATCTAAACTCACTTGAAGGTTAAATAAGCATCCATGCCTGCTTTAAAAATTTATTCCATATATTCCTTAATTCAATTATACCTGGTAGAAATCCACTTATATCAAAGATACATTAAGAAGATTTTACATGAAGAATTTCTTAGATTAAGTTTTTTTTTATTTCTGAAACAGCACAGTGATACAAGTAACCTGCAATTTTAAAGACTCAAATATAATTCAGGGTACATACATATTAATTTGGGACCTTAAAAGCCACACTTGTTTGCAGGCTCACACCATTCCCATAAATTGCCTAAGACACAAAGTAAAAGTTACATATCATAACGTGATCCTATCAGCCTAACAGTTACAGGACTTTTTTGGCAATTCATAAATATACAGCTGCATTACAAAGCCATCCCAAATAAGCACTGATAAAATAATTTATCTCTTGATTGTCACATAGAGTTGCTAAAGAAAAATGCATTAGAGAAAAAAATATTTGAGGACTATAAAGGGAACTTAATTCTTTCAGGATTAATACGATATAAAGTTTCATTTCTGTAGATAAGCATTCTATTAATTTTACTTTCAATACCTATAGCCTATTTGGTGTAACTGAGTAAAAAAACAAAGTAGGATGTGGCCTGATATCACAGTATATAATATCAAGGATTGGATAGGAGTTTTGATTTTGTTTTGCTTTAAGATTGAACAATATTTACTCTCATTTCTAACTGTATAGACTGCCTAATGCAGTATTACAATCCTGTGTCTTTAGAACCATGTTTATATAAAAGCCAGATATCTCAAAAAACATAAACTCAGAAAAATAATTACTGTTTTGCTAATAAATGCCAAAAATATTTTCAAGAAAGATGTATTAAAACAATGACAAAAGATATAAATATATCTGTACTGAAGTCCCTTCCAGCTTATCTGCAGTATCACTGTCCTAATCTGGAAACAAGACAAGGAGTAAACAAGAGATCAACCACGATGTAAATAATTAAAGCAGTAAAGGTGTTATTTAATAATTAAAGTAATAAACTTTAATAATTAAAGTAATAAAGGTGCAAACTTCTCTAAATGTTATGCTATTAAACTGAATGAAGCTGTTTGGTTTGTCTGCAATTTAAGAAACCTCATTATGGTATGATAAAAAAACCCCAGTGCTTCAAAAAACATTCAGTTAGCAATACTTCCCTTCTCCTACATAACAAAAAAAGAAAGGTAGGACAAATTATGCATCTATGGTAAAAGGGTCTTTCTACTATGATTCAGTGCCATTAAGATAATCAAAAATCTTCCTTATGTTTTTATATAGTTCTCCAGCAGGACCTGAAAAGACATGCTAAAATTTGTAGTATTTTAAAATCTATTCTTCTCATCAGTTGTATACCAAATTCTTCAAATCTTCTGGATTTGGCTAATCATTAAGTTTTAGAGAAATATTACTCATTTCTCTTGCAGATTTAGTCAATACTTACTTAAAATATATCGACCAGAAATACAACCTTAAACTGAATTGCAAGAGGATAGAATGGCATGAAAGTAAATGAAAGACTTATGTCTAAATAATTCCTTGCATGGCTACCTGTCCACCATCCCGAAGGAAATGATTTATATGAGATGGATGAGAGAAGACACAAGCTGACTAACTCTACCAGGCAATCCACCAACCAAGATCTAATGCTGGATTTGGGACAAACACATGTAATTCTTGGTAAATTGCTGTTAAACTAAAATCCAAGCTTGGCAAGCTTCAATAGATTGTGGTAAATTTGTATAGTATTTCTTGTGGCAAATATGTCTGGGAATATTTTACTCCAGTCATCACCAGTGGGAAAAGTGCCACCTTCTTTCCCCCATATTCCTTCCAGCTCTATCTGCCCTTCTCTTTCTAACACTAGGCTGTCATTCAGCACAGAGACATGCAGCAGGAGCTGAGGAAATTAATGTTGAGCA